TATATATCATGTGTGCCAGTGGGCCATTTCACTCAGGGCCTTCTTTTTTTTTGACTGTGACCGCTACACGGCAAGAAGAGACATCTGTTAAGTCAGCCTTGTTTGGGATCGCCAGCTCTAACCACTTTAACACATGCTGATTCTGAGCTACTGGGTTGAATTAAAGAGTAACTAAAAACCCCAAATTAACTTTTCCCAGCTGAAAACCAATTTATATGGGTATTCAGCAGTGTTGATGGTCCAAATCTTGACAGTTTTGTGCAAAGTATTTGAATTCTGTTATAAATATTCCAGGATTAAGAGATCATTTATTGTCATTCTGCCACACAGGGTTGCACAACAAAATGTTTGTAGCCCATTTGCAACACAGGTACAACACATGTGTACACGTGTACATGCGCCGCCCTTGCCATAGTTGCATAGCATAGCAACTGTCCTATATTGGTTTAAACCCGGCTACTGCAATTAAATTTTGCTTCTGGCCGACCTGGAGGCAGGTGACGTTTATGGAGGAAGCTATTACCACCGACCAGCCTCCCCTCACCCACCCCCTACCATAAAAACCAAAAGACTGTGGAGAGAGGAGTATAACTGACAAGTAGCCGTTACCCTTTAAATTAGCCTGTGAATTATAGTAAACTCAAATTCACAAATTTTTTAAAAGTTTATACTGTATTGTCACCACAATAGTCCATTTACAGCTCTACTTTCGACTCTTATCCAGCCATAATCATAACAATAGTCAGCATGCCAACGATTAGCATTAGCACTATCTATTAGCACAAGCTAATTAAAATGGTAACGGCTATCATGAACACTAATGTAAAATATGTTAAGGATGGCTAAATGTTAAGTAGCGTAGATCAAGGCCAGCAGTTCATGTTGTGCTTTTTTATGTTCTGTAACTGTAGCATGAAAGCATGACGCAATTATCAAGCTAGCTAGCTAACTAGCCAGCCGCCAATGGAGTAAAATTTACCAACATAATGCTTCATCCACAGACTGTTGTCACAGCGCAGGAAAGCACATATTAATACAGATACACCAGATTGTGTTATGTGCTGGCAGCTTGATTTTAATTCCACAGAAAAGAGAGAAAAGTCTTGTGCTGTGACTGTAATGCTACACTTGTAACAGGAAATCACTTGGCAAGTCTTAGCTCCGCCTCCCAGTTCTGCCCATCTTGATATTTTTTTTAAGTTATAGAAGCATTTTTCTAATTTCCAGTGTAGAGGGACTTCATCCCAAACTCTGGGGTTTAGTTTCTCTTTAAAGATAAACTGAAATGTCTGCATTCTTGCTTGTCGCATATATTTTTGCTTTCCGAGTAAGATAGTCGCCCACGTGCTCGTTCAGTCATTCGTTACATGTCATGTGGACACATATGTTATCAATCTGTCAGGCTTCTTCTCAGAAAGAAAAGCTTTTCCACAGTAATTACGCTGGAATCTCTAACAAAGTCCAGTTGAGCAGAACGGGGGTAACTTGCCGCTGACGCTTACCAGCTGTCAAATGACACTTTATTTACATGCAAGTGTATCCAAAAAACCTTGTTTAATTAACTGTGTTGCTCAGCTATGTTGCAAATTTGCATTATTCTTTGGTGTGTGTGGTGAAAACTGAATGTACTCTGAGGGAGAACGGCCTTGTTTTTAACGTGACCACTGTGCATTTTTTAAACGTTTATCCAAAGGGGTTTTGAAAGGCTTTTTATAAGACCAAGGGGCGGAGGACTGTCTCAGCCCACAGAGGAGGACGTAATCCATCCACCTTGTGTTAAAAATGTTCACCAGCATATAGGAATTAGGCTGGCATTCGGACACTTCAGATGAAGGAAACATCAGCTTGATGTGAAGCAGTAAATGAGAGTGGACGTACTGTGCAGTATGTGATGATGGAGGACACACACACACACACCCAGCAGCACACTCACAGAGTTACGGTACTGTGTAATGCTACGGCCCTCGCTGTGGCGGCGCCGTGCCAGCTCCGCTCTGCTCCGCTGCTGCCAAGCAAGACCACAACATGGGCCTCTCTCTGCCTCAGCAGCAGGCCCTCCACTATTACAGCCACGCATGGCTGACCCTCTGGCCTACCAGCTGTTCACAGGCACCGTAAATCTCTGGCCTGGTGCTCAGACCAGCTGTACTGTCACTGTCAATAAAAGTCTGCACTTTACAGGACACTTGAGGAGGGAACATACATGCCACAATAATGATAACATGAGTCACATGATAGCAAGAACTCTGTCCTTTTGTCTTTCTTGTCTTCTTCATGTCACGTTTGCATTAAAACTACTAAAGTAATCAGTACCTTGTTGGTCATGTTACAGATCTGCTTAGATTGACTAGATTATTAAGTGTCATTAATTGGAGACCCGGTGTAATTATACAATACAGTTGTACTGTAACTGTAAAAAGGTTACGTTTATTACTGCATGGCTAATAATGTTAGCAATATCTTCCTCCAGTTACCCTGATTAATCACCAGACAAATAATCAATGCTGATAGATAAAGGAGTCATGATATAGCACATGCCTCAGACATTGTCTGCCTGGATATGTTTTTGTTGAGTTGAGTGGACAAAGGCTCTATTTAAATAAGAGATTTGTGCAGATGGAACAAGAAATGAAACTTGAATGAAAACGCGACGGAAGTCAGACAGCAGTGGTTTTGCACTCTGCAGCTCACGTTAAAACTACGGTGGCCCTCAGGTGATGTAAAATGTCAAAATTTCTCTCAACATCCAGTGTTTGGTTTGTCTGTTCTGGGCTACCGTAGAAACATGGCGGTGCAAATATGACGCACTCCGTGAAGAGGACCTGTTCCCTATGTAGATATGAAGGGCTCACTCTAAGCTAACGGAAACACAACAATTGCTAATTTCAGCTGATAAAGAAAACATAGTTATGAATAATAAATTATATTTCTGATAATAGATCTCCCTAAATGCTACACACTGTCCCTTTAAGAAAAAAGACTTAAAAGTATTATTTGCTAAATTGACTTATGATGCATTACTATCATACATTGTTTTAATATCACTATTAATCTATTTATAAGTACTGAGGTTAAGTTCTTCAAATGTGTAATTTGGTACATTACTTGAGTAAATGTATTTAGTTACATTCCACCACAAATGTTGCTGTTTTAATATTTTTTTGTGTGTGGAAAAGGTCAAGGGATCATTTTCAGGAGCAAACATGAACAAAATAAAACTATCAAGCCAACAAACTGTATAATAAAGATACAAAACTGACATTGAAGATGAACCAAAGTTGTGTTCATAATGAGCTTTTTATTTAAAAGCACATGTATTAGAGCTAAGTACATTTAGAAGAAAAAAAACAGCATTGCATCTATGTCTTGGTACAAAAAAAACGAGATGATACAAAAATACTAATATTGAATTTTTAATACAATTGTGGGTGTATTTTTTTTTTGAATGCATATTACAAACGTAGCTATAACAATCTACAATAGTTATTCTAGATACAAAAATCTGTCAATCGATGCTTTTCAAGCAGCATTTTGTGAAGAACACAGGTCTGTAATCATAGTGGATATATCTAAACATGTTAAGAAACAATATCTTACAGAGTTTAGTGATCTATACATTATTTATATATTTATAAAATAAAAAATAAAAGAGAGTGAGAACGGCTTGGTGAAATGATAGGACGGACTATACGATGAGAAAGATGTGCAACATGGCGGAGTGTGTTTTTGGAGGAGGAGATCTGAGTCGGCTGTAAATAAAAGAAAAGGGCTTCTGTATCTGTACAACTGTTAGTGATTATACAGGACAGGCTATGAACACACAAGGTTACAGAGAATAAAAAATATTAGATCCACAGTTTTTATAACGTCCACCTGCTCTCTCGCTCTCTGACACACACACACACACACACACACACACACACTTACTTGGCACATCTCTCCTTTGACACACACTTCATCGAGATGGGGGGGTCTTTTTTCACAGGGCACACACATATGTACAGACACACATTAATTCGCACAAGATGTACATGTACAAGCATATGCGTACCCACACAAGCACAGGAGTGTACAGGACACACAGATACACACACCCACCCACACACACACACACACACACACACACACACACACACACACACACCCATCCATTGCCAATGAGTGATTGGGTGGGTGAGAGCCCCTCCCTGCCAGCGGAAAGAGCCCCAAATCATCCCGTAAATATAAATGTGCCAGCTTAGCTGTAATTCATCACCCTCTTTCCACGGTGACAGCCCGCACCCCCTTCACTCTGCCCACCCATCCCACCCTCCACCCCCCCACTTCCTGTTTAGGAAGCTAAACACAGATGACCCCAACACCAAGGAAGTGGCATGGCACAGCCACGCCTCTTAATACAGGTGCTGGGAGGCTGTGAGATCTGCCTCCCTCCTTCCACAGAAAATACTCCCCCCTATCCCATCCCATCCCATTCC